ACTGTATAGGCCCTTCCTCCCTAAGAAGGGAACAGAATATAGGGGGGAAATCTCCTTGGAAGAAGAAAGGGAAAATAAAACGAAAAATGGTGATGTTCCCAGGAAACATTCATGTCACCATTTTTTTTTTTTTTTTTGTCTTTTTCGTGACCGGTAAGGGGATCGCAACCCTTGGTGTGGNTACCTGATGGAATATCAAATTGCTTTCCACCTGTGTTGGCAAATAAGTAAATTCAGCCACACGAGTAAGCATAGCATACAACCACTCCTGTGCTGAGATTTCAGGGCACTAAGGAGAGACTACCTGCTACCAAATATTCACCACCCTATGTCAAACTTCTTTTAAGTTTAAGCCAAAAGGATCTTTGTACACTGTTAAATACAGATATCCCTGAAAGAGGTCACACATTAATCCCAAAATGTTATTTGTAACTCTGAATATATGGATTTATCACATTCTTCAAGGTGTTGACGAACCTAAGCCCTTCACTCTTTAATTCTTCGAATTATCTTCAGGAATTTCATTAAGTCCTAAGACTTCGACCACAATATTTATTGAAATCAGTATACATTTTTACAATTTGCTCTCATACTCTATGCCCAGCTAGACCAGAATATTCAGCTGACTCTCGGACATCTCCATCTGTCTCTTCCATGAATGCCTCATACTCAGCATCCCCAGAACCAACACGTTACATTCCCTGCAGGCCTGTTTCTTCTCATTTGATATAGGTTCGCTTAGCCACATGGTAACTCAAGTAGTAACCTCAGAGTCAGCTTTTGCTCTTCTCTTCCCCACAATCAGGGATTATATCCTGAGGATTCCAACTCTGTGATATCTCACACCTGTCTCCTTCTCATTCAGAAGCCGCCACTCTAACACAAGCCACATTTTCCCACATCAGGCTGCTGAAGGAGCTTCCTTTAGTGTTTCCAACACCACCCTCCACCACACTCCACTCTTCCTGAAGCTCAGTTTTGGTAATATCATTCTACAGTTCAAAAACCCTTAATGCTCCCCATTTCTTGTTAAATTAAAATCAAACTAACCCTAACCCTAACCCTAACCCAGTGTATATTATGACATGGCTTCATCTACCTTCAACTTTCACATTCTCTCTAGTAAATCTAGAACACTCACTGTTCTCTAGTGCCCTTTGCTTTTCAAACTATGTGCCTTTCCCAAATTGTTTCCTCCATTTGAAATACTTTCCACCCATGCCCCATTTCTACCTATCTTCAAGATCAAGTTCAGATTTTACTTTCTTAAGTAAGCCTTTCTGGCTCCCCCCATCAGGATGTGATCGTCCTACCATTGAACTCCCGTGGTATCTACTATGCCCTGAATTACTAAGTAGTACCGTTATTTCTATGCTTGTCTTATGCTACTCACTATATTGACAACTCCATAAGTCTAGGAACAGAGTCTTATTCATCTCTACTTCGCTGGCAGTGCCTAGCTCAATTCTTGCATATAAAATGCACATAATTATTGAAGCGTTTCTGAGCAAGTTTTGAAGGAAGATGAGAAAGAAAGCGGAGGAGTTCCTGACTTCTGAAAGGGTGGTTTTGCAAAGAAATACAGGGTATTGGAGAGCACCTTTATACACTTTGTGATTTTGTCTAAGACTGTAGCTTAGGACAAACATCTTGGCAATGATGGACATCTGTGTTGGAGGAAAGGAGGGGTGGTCCAGAGCACCAGCATTCACTTGATGAAATACTGTACTGGGGACCTCAGGCAGGCAGGGCAGCATGAAACCATTGGGTGCCTGGGATCTTGGAAATGTCTTTAGGTCCTGGAATGCTGCAGGGAAGATGAGAGCACTGGGCCAGAGAATTCTAGAAGAGGCCAGTGAGTTGATAATAAAATTGCCTGTTTCACTACTTTACATATATTAGACTAGAGTGGCTCTATTTTAGCCTTATTTGGGTTTCTGTAGATATGCGAAACCGTCAATTGCTTAATCAGTCATCATCTATTTGTTGAGTGCTTTTAATGTGCCAGGCACTCTGTCAGGTGCTGAAGATACAGAGGTAAACAAAAAAGACAAAAATTCCTGCCCTCATGGACCTTACTTTCCAGGAGGAAGCAAAAAGTTATGAATAGAATGCATACCTAAAATACAGAGCTTATTTGAAGGTGATCAATCCTCCAGATAAAAATATAAGCAGGATAGAAAGGTGGTTAGAATGTTAAGGAGAGTGGTCCGGGCTTGTTAAGAAGATGAAATTGGAACAAAAATGTGGAAGAGGTGAAGCACTGATCTGTGCAACCATCCTGGGAAGGAGCATTCCAGGCAAAGGGAATAGCCAGTGCAAATGTCCTGAGGTAAGCACGGGCCTGATACATTAAAGGAATGAAATGGAAGCCAGAGTGGCTGGAGTGATTGGAGGCAGAGTGAAGTCCGAGTACCAAAGGGATATTTCCAGACTTTGTAGGTCATTGCAAGGATTTGGCTTTTCCTTTGAAGAAGGAAGTGGGCAAAGTGCCTTTGAAGAGAAATCGGGAGCCTTAGGAAGAATCTTAGCAAAAATTGACGTCATTTGGCTATTGAGTTGAGATTAAACTGTAGAAAGGCCTAAAGACAGAGCAAGGAGACCAGTTAGGAAGCTATTGCAATATTCCAGGCAAGAGACAATGGCTTGGACCAGGATGGTGGCAGTAGAGAAGATGAGACGTGATCAGAGTCTAGAAAAATTTTAAAGGTAGAGCCTCAGGGATTTTCTGATGTATTGGATGCAGGAAGGAAAAACAGAGCCAAGGATGACTCCAAAGTTTTTTGCCTGAGCAACTAGAAAAATAGTGTGGTTTATTAATGGAGAATATTAAGGGTAGCATAGGTTGCGGAGCAGAGACAGTAGGGGTTGAGTTCTGGATCTGTAAAGCTCATGATACTTATTAGACATCGAAGTGGAGTCTGGACAACAGGAGAGTTTGGACTGGAGGTAGAAGTTTGGGAATATAGACAGAATTTAGAATATCAGAATATAAACAGTATAATATAGAATACTGAAGCCGAGAGACTGAATGAGATCCACAAGGGAGGGGCTATAGAGAAGAGACAAGGTCCCAGGACTGAGCTTGAAGCACTCCAACATTCAGAGGTCCTATAGAAAAGGTGGAACCAGCAAAGGACACTAAGAAGGAACAACCAGTGAGGTAGGAGGCAAACCAGGGGGGGCATGTTGTCTTGGAAGCCAAGATAAAAGGTGTTTGAAGGAGGAGGGAGTGAACAACTGGGTCAAATGCTGCTACAGGTCAAGTAAGATGAGACCCAAGAAATGACCTTTGGGTTCAGCATTGTGGAGGTCATTGATGGCGTGGACAAGAACAGTTTCACCGGAGAGATGGGATAAGATAGCCTAACTGGAGAAGGTCTGGGAATGAGAGAAGAGGAATGGGGAAGATTTAGTACAGATGCCTATATTTGCTATATGTATGTGTGTATATGTATATATACATACACACAGACTTTTTATTAACCCAAATGGGCATAGTGGACAAGAACAGTTTCACCGAAGAGATAGGATAAGATAGCCTAACTGGAGAAGGTCTGGGAATGAGAGAAGAGGAATGGGGAAGATTTAGTACAGATGCCTATATTTGCTGTATGTATGTGTGTATATGTATATATACATACACACAGACTTTTTATTAACCCAAATGGGCATTGTGTCCACAGCAATCTGACTAAATCAGATTTTACTTGTGAAATCTCCCTTTCAAATGACAAATATTTTTGTGCAATGAGTTTCAGCAGTTTTAAGTCTATCACTCTCTTTGTTTACTGAAGAAAAACAATCACTGCCTTCAGTGAATTTGCAGCTCAAAGTATTTTAAGTTTTATAATCAAAATTCTATCTTGAAACTTCACACATACATGTATCCCCAAATGATAACAGCATGATTCTCAGCTGAATATTGTAACTCATGGTAAATAACATTCACTCATTCCAAATATCTCATTACTGATGTATAGTTCTTTGCTCATGCCATAGCCACAACTTACTCACCATAACATTTTAAGCGATGTTTCTCATTCCACTAACTTCCTTTTCTACTTGTGGACACAGGTTCATGTTGTTAACAGTTGGGCATTGAATATCAGAAAACATTAAGCTTGGGATTAAAAGCAGAGCAGAAAAAGCCAGCTGTAGAACAGGCTAACCTAAAGTATCTGAACAGGACAGTGTCACCTTCATACTCAGAAGCACAAGGGTGCTGTGAAATACAATGGTTTGATACTTGTGATGTCATTTTGTTGTAGCATTAAAGCCAAGAGTCCTCTACCCCCGCAAGGGCAATGCCAATTTCCCAGAAGGCTCATTTCTAAGAGCCAAAGCTCCACAGACTCCAATGCAACCCATGCTGATAGTCTCGTGTTATTTCTCAATTTTATGCCTAATTTGCTCCTTTTGGTTTTATGTATTTTGACACAGTCAAGTGTATGTGGGGATTTCCCCATAGTCCTTTAAATGCTATAAAACTTTAATATAGGGAGGTAAAAACAATAATAAGCCATGCCTCCAAGCCCTCACATTTAGTTCTTTGAGTTAGACGATAGGCAGTTTTAGATAACTGACTTAAATATCCAGTACTTGAAATGCTTTAAGTATTCTTCTTGTACCTTCCCTTCCCTTCCTCCGCCACCCAAATACATTCTACCCTTAACCTGGACATGCAACTCCCATTGATTGCAAAAAGTGGCAATCAGGATTCATGGGTTTACAATTCTTAACTTATCATCATAATGATCTACATCGTGCATGAGCCAATGCAATTTAATATGATTCAGGAGAAAGACAAGATGGATGCCCAATTCTAAATTTTAGGCACGCAACCCTGGAATGTCTTTTGGAAAAAACGAAATAATGCTCTAGTAGTTTGTTGGGTTAGTCTGTTTTCAGCATAATTGCCTTCTCTCAGCTTCCTAATACCCTTAAAACCTCTGAGAGTCTTTAATGTACAAAGTTCAACAAAACACCTTCAAAACAGATTAGTTCTAATTATGTTTAATATTTGTTTGCTGCTTTATTGAATAAACTACATTTGCTTTAAAAAAAAAAAAAGGAAGAAATTCAGTTAACTGCATGTCAGTCATCCAAATTTTAAGTGTACAAATGAAATGGAAAACATTTATTACACAAATTTAATTACAATTCTAAGAAATAAACATGTAAATTAGATAGAGTTCAATTTGCAGATGCTAATCCTCATCCTTGGTATTGTTCCTTTCCTCCATGATTTTCAGTCTGTGCAGTTCCTTGATTCCTAGGGAGCCAGGGAGCCAGAGGTTTGGTTTTTCACAGTCGGAGGATCACTGTTTTAAAGAAGTGTTATATTTAGCACATCTGGCATAGTAGCAGTAAACAAACATTATAGTCTTTGTAACACTTTTGTGCAGGTACCTTCCCCCGATTTTATTAGGTCTATGCCTTCCAAACTTCTGCGTTCATTACACCTGAAATGACCCATCTCGACTATGGAGAGGTCCCTAGACAGAAGTTATGAATTAATGTTTCAAAAAACAAACTCCGATTGAGCCCAATACAGGAGAAAATTACTATTTACTAAATAATCTGTTTCTGGGGCTCGAATTACATTCTCTTAACCAAGTACAACCTCCTTTATGACTTTTTTATTTCCTGGAGGTTTTCCCCAGAGGCTCCCCACCCAGAAAGTGCTGCCAATTCAAGTTGCCGCAGGACCAAGGTTGCTTTTTTATACACACGTAGCTCAGGAGGGGAACGGGCGGGGGCGGGCGGCGAGGGGAGCTAAGTGCTCGGTCCTGCAAAGACATCTGTTTCTCATCTCCGTTTGCTGTGGCAAAGGAGAAGAAAGTCTTTTGCAGAGGGTGGGAAAGGCACAGATTTTTTTTTTTTTTTAAATCACGCGCACACACAACAACAACAAAACTAAACCAAATAAAAAAAGACAAGACATCTCAGAAGGTTGCAGAGTGAATACATAATTCGGCTAGAGCCGAGCCCCCAGGGCTAGGGCGGGAGCCCGAGAGCGCGTGGGGTCTGGGCTGCGGGCTGGAGCTGGGCCCGCGTGTCCCCGGGCA